TGTCAGACTGTCCTCCGATGAGCCTCTCTATGTCTCTAATCAGCTGTTACATTTCAATACAATCATTCTGCGTTTTGGAAGACTAGATGAAGTGTCTGATGGCCGAAGTGGCAGCTTTTTCTCAGGTAGTCATCATCAGTACTTCACACAGCGATATGTACTCCTCATTAGTGCAGCCACAGTTTTGCTTAGCAGCTCTCTGTAGATCCCAGGGGGGTTTCTGGTGCCTGTCTACAGTCAAAAGAGCTCTTCTTGGTTGCTGTTTAAAACAAAAAGGTAAAAAGCCTGACTGTTCACTAATTAACAAATCCTCACAAAGTCATTCTCTTTAACCAAATTCCTTCCTTCACTGTATCTGTTGGAGCCATTACCAGAAGCATTGTCATATTTGGACAACTGAGACTCCAGTCATCATTATATTTGCGTGCAGAGCGTGTTGTGTTCAATCAGGAAGCGAGCCGACGTGAGCTCCAGACTAATGGACAGCGACTGAGACGGTCCGTCATATTTGTCACAAACAAGCAGAACACGACTGACTTTACTATTTTCCCTCTCTCTTGATGTCACATTTGCATTGTGCAGCTCAGAAGAGAGGCTACCTGTGCGCCAAAAATAAATTGCAGTGGTCACAAAAACACAACCCTGGGAAGCCCTGTCTACTCTTTTCTTCATATTACACTTCATGTTCGGAATAGCAAACGCTCCACTGACCTTGGCCCCAGCGCCACTCTCTTCAGATTAGTTCCACACAGCACTGTTTTATTGTGATCAGACATGCCCTTGGTCTGTGTAAGACTGCTCGAGTGCAATGAATATCAATTGGACATTTGCATCCCTCTGTGGACTTGCAGTGCTTGTAGGTGTCTGTACTGCTAAACGGTGGCGTGGATGAACACCACATGCAGCTGTTATGAACAATCACAGCCTGTATGTGTGTGTGTGTGTGTGTGTGTGTGTGTAGGAGAGAGAGAGTCTCTGGGGTTTTTCCAGCTTCACCTCAGAGAATTTCAGAGAGATTTGGGCCTCCAAGCAAAAAACAATTTCTCTGCCACTGTTAGTTTTTATAGAATAAAGGCGCTTTCTCACATTGTACAAATCAAGACAACTAAAGTTTTTTAGACTTTCAAGTATACACAGGTGACAAATTAAAGAAAAATCCGACATAAAGCATCTCAGTAAGGTGTTGGGCCACACTGTACCACCAGAACCGAGATGGAACACCATTCTTCCACAACATACTTGGTGTTTCAGTGATGTTGGTGGAGAACACTGCCTCACATGTTGGTTTGAAATCTGCCACAGGTGGTAAAGTGTGTTGAGATCTGCTAATTGTGAAGGTCACAGCCTCACAGTGACACCTCGTGCCCCGTGGACAGGCTGGAAGAAAGCACTCCTACCAGAATAGAAATGTTTCTTCAAAGGGTAAATGTGCTAAACTTTGTTTTGATTTGAAGTGAACCTTCCCTCTACAGTACAACAGAGCCTCTGGATCCCTTCCATAGAGGTTAAGGGTTCAGATATTTCATTTTATAAGAAAATAATGTTTGTTTTGTTACTGAGTTTCAAGTGGCAAATTGCTTGACAGCACCTTCAATGGATTTTATGTCTATTTGAAACAAGAGTTATTGATTTGTTAGTAAATCCAAATATGTTTCTATGCAATGCTGGAAGTGATACATAAAATTCCAACCCTCAGTTCATGCAAATAAATTCTGTCATCATGACTTCCAGCCAAGTGAGAGGTGCCCAAAGGTTACAGGTCTGACAAGAGCCCTTTGTTTACTGAGTCTCAGGAGCTCTGAAGTGCAGTCGTGGGAGTTCTCCTCATGTTTTGGATAACAAACCAGCCTTCACTTTCCCCGAAACTCCTCGGGTGTACGTGCAGGAAAACATGTTGGCATACTTATCTTCCTAGCTGTCGTTTTCTCTTTGCTAAAGGGTCTTGTGGAAAAATCAGCTCATCGCTGGAGGGGTAAACTGCAGCTGATATTGACTTGTTGGAGTCAAAACCACAGGAAAACCTAAAAATACTGGAGATCAGAAATGATAACAGTAAATGGTAGATTTCTTACTCAGCACACTGTGGGCAAAGCTGCCATTCCCAGTGCATAAACATAAAGGTAGAAGGTTTTTGCAGACTAATTAAAAAAAGAAATCTCCCAGAGAAAATGCAGAATTTAATGCTCAAACAACCTTCCTTAGGGTGCATCTTCGGTGGTTTCTTATTTGAAAGCAGTTCCTCAGGCATATTGCATGGTTTCCACGCGATCTCAGGTTGCAACACCTCTTTGTAATATACATGTAAAATAGCAGGTGAATAAGTGTCTTCAATGTCACGACTCAAATCAACCCATCGTCATGTTTAATGACATAAATCACTGATTGAAAAGTAAATACGTGGAAAGTGGAGTTTGAATGAAGGCTTTAGAAGGATAGACTGTATATTAAGTCTCAATCGATCTTTTGGTCGTATCTTTACATTATTAAATGTCTTGATAGGAAAGCGGCAATAACTGAATTTTATGATCTTTAAAAACAGCTACGTACTGTTTTATGCAATTCAATGAGACCTGATGAGTTCTTCTTTATATTTATTTACAATCTTACAAAAAGACTTTGAGGAGAACTGGTTGAAAAGCAGGTGGTGGCTGTGATGTTATAAGGACGTGCAGCTTGTCCTGTGCACCTTATCAAAGGATCCAGTTCCCTGGAGCTGCAGAGTGAGGGGGGTCTTCACCAGAGGAGACTGGATAACCACCAGGGCCCCGAACTCTCTGCCCTCACTGAAACACACAACATGCAGACATTTGAAACTTAGGTGTGCTGTGGATATGTTAGCAAAATTATGTTTGTTTTTGTTTTGTACACATTTATCAATTCAATCTTGAAAACACTTGTTACATAAAACACAATATCTGTGTAGACATTTTAATATTGGCCTGTGGTTTGTGACTTTACCTGGGAGTGAAGCTGATCTGAAGACACTGGCTGCAGCGGGCGGCACTGAGCTCCTTGGACTGGAGCAGCCCAAAGTCTGGCGTAACTCTGAACACATTGGAGTCTCTTTCTTCTGATTCCACACACAGTGAACACACACAATTAAGGCTGACAAGCTATGCAAACACAAGAATGTAAATGATAGTTTACACTATGGGCTTCACAGATATACGAGGTGTGTCAGAAAAGCTCCAGAACTGGTGTCACAAACTACAAACTACGAGTTTTCCCCTTGAGATGATCAACCAGCACATTCTACAAAGAGATTTTTGCTTCGTTTAGAGCGTGAGAAGAGGCGAGAGGTGCTGCAAGACAAGTTGTGGCTGCTTCACCATGACAACGTGCCTGCTCACAATGCCCTGAGCATCCGACAGTTCCTGGCTGAGAAGAACATCGCCGTGCTGTAGTAACCTCCCTACTCACCCCACCTGGTTCTGTGGGATTTTTTCCTAAAGCTTCCCAAGCTCAAGGGGGTCATCAAGGGGACCCGCTTTGAAGACGTGGACGACATCAAGATGGCTGTGACGACGGAGCTGCGGAGGATCCTGGAAGAATCCTTTGTGACAGAGAAGGCTGGGAAAGTGTGTTAGACTCCAGGGGGATTACTTCGAAGGGAAAAACTTGTAGTGATTGGATTTGAAATACATCTTTTGTGTCACCAGTCCTTGAACGTTTCTGACCCACCTTGTATCATTGTTGGCAATAAATGTATTGCTGATAGTGTGGTTACTTGTAAGTGATCTCCAGTAGGTGTGGGCTCCATGGCTGTAGAGGTTAACTTCTCTGGTTTGTGTCTGTCCCACATAGCAGAAGCCAAAGTTGATGCTGTCAGTGGATAGACGTAGAGTACAAAGGTCCAGATGGGCGCGGAGAGGCACTGTCTGTTCGGAGGATATGAACGTTGTGAGGTCACATATTTCGCAGTTACTTACAAATTATCATACAGTCATGTGTGCAGTTTTTTCCAACCTGCAGGCCGTTGTTGCTGTAGTGGATCAGAAGGTTTTGCTCGAACCTCAGCTTCCTTTGCCCCTTTGCGCTTTGGACAAGCATCACACCAGGAGGAGCTTCTTCATCTGTCTGGTCCACATGGTCCAGAAGGGGTAGAGAACAGTGAAAGGCCACTTTCACCTAGAATTCACAGTAAAGAGCAACAACATTCAGATCCAAACCTATTGCGCTACTGTATATCCATGACTGCCTCTCCTCATCTCACCCGCATGCTGTGTTGAGGCTGAAGCACTAGAGATTGATTTTCCCCAGTAGGAGGGTTGCTGGAGGTGCTGGTTCGGGCTCGCGGTTGCGGCTTGAGTACAAAAAAAGGAAGCTGAGTCTTGAGTCTGAAGTGCAGGGGGATCTCTGAGGTGTTTGCTAACTTAAATGTCTGTGTGATGTCGAATTCCCGCACTTCTACCTGCAGGACAAAAGCAACCAAAAAAAAAAAAAAAAACAGCTAAGAAATGCTGCGCACACATGGGATAAATACCTCATATATGCACTTCAGCACTGTTAATTAGTGCTGTAGATTTCTTCGACCAACCTCCTTGTCTGATTCTGCCCTCAGTAAATCACCGGCCGAGGCGTGAAACTCCAGCACCCCGTCGTCCTCCTCCATCTGCACTAACAGCCTGCAGCAACGGGAAGTCAAGAGGAAGATATGCGACTTAATCAGACCACCTCTGAGCTGTTTTTGCCTAACCTCAGCTTATTTTAATTTGGGAAACATAAATTGAGTTGGATGCATTCGGGGTCTGGGGAACATAAATAGCATGATTGTAATTGCTTACACTGCAGGTTTAACGGCTGCAAGTAGATCCATTCTGACAGGCTCTAAATCTAAACCCTGAGCCCTTCCAACTTTACCCGGGACACAAGCAGCCATCTGTAAAACACAAACAACACAATAAAGCAACTTAACTTGCATCTGAGTTATGAACTGTCTTTTTTTAGGATTTATTACTAAACCATACTGTTTTGTGTACTAAGCGTGTTACCTGAGAGTCGAGGCTCATGAAACCCAGAGCCAAACCTGCACATCTGGACTCACAAGCTGACTCAGAAAGAGTCAGAGGGGTGAAGGATACATGGATAGTTCCACTGCCCTTAGCTGGAATCACCTTGAGATTTAAAAAGCAATAAAATGCATCATTATTTAGATGAAGTTTTTTAGCAGTAAAGTAGTGGCTAAAATCTCTGCATACTGTCTGTTGTGGTGTGATGCAGTATGGGTAATCTGAGAGGTTGCCCATATGAGGTCTGATGTGGACGGAGATGAGGTTTTTCCTCGCAGGAGACGGATAAGTTTCCTCTTCTTCCTCACGATCATCGTCAGGTAAAAATTCCTCCTCTTCCACATCCTGAAATTAATAATAATAATTTTTTTAAAAAGCTGCATTTGAGCCAGTGGAAGAAAAATAAAGTGCGTTTCTGTGCTTCCACTTATTGGGATTGTACCTGTGAGGATTTCTCAAAGGCCAAGTGACAGAAGCCGTATGTTTGTGTATCTGTGCTGTGGTGTTAAATGTACTCACAGTCACACTTCGGAGAGACGAGCTTGTTCCCTCCGAGCAAGGGCTGTGAGTCTTCTCCCAGACTGTTTGCATGTTTCCATCAGAAAGCCTTAGTGCTCCACTCAGCACCTCATTGCCATCAGCGTCTTTAATTGGGAACGGGTCTCCATATGTCACTACGAGATCCACCAGTTTACGGTCACTCTGGTCTATGTTGTAAGTCTCCCAGTCAATCCGGATATCTGTCACAAACCAAATACATGCAGATGAGATCATTTTGACGAGAGTGAAGTAGTTGTAACACACACACTAAAACATATTCCAGCTCAGACATGTGCACAGCCACTAAATGTTTGCTATTTGATAAACAATCAAATCAAATGGAACGCACAGTCAGTCATAAGTGACACACTCAAAACAAGACGAAACAAAACACATTTTTGCCATAGACTCAGGCATTAGCATGTTCTTATTTATAAACTTATTCTTGGTTTTCTTCCTTCATATCTATGAGTCTATTACCTTCAACAAGCACGGGGTTCTATTGTCTTTGTTTCAGGATTTATTCCTGCTATCTGTTCCTAGAGCCTGGACTGAACTGAGTAAAAGTGTTTAAGCATGCTGCTCCCTTTGCCTGAATTTTAAACAGCTGATCTCACAAAATGAATTCAAAGCAACTTTACGTGACTTGAAGGCAGACACATTCAGAGGAACATGTTATGACGAACTCAAATTGCCTCTGTATGGTCATTACCAATAATGACTTTGCGATTTTATGAGTGGAACACACGATTGGCTTTTACATAAACCTTATTTAAATTGTATGTTTGTTGCACCTGCTGAACTGTGCTGCTGCCTGTCTCGGCCAAGATACTTGTGTAAAACAGATTCTCAATCTTAATGAGACTTTTCTTTGTAAATAAATGTTAAAAATTTTTAACAAAATCATAAATAAGACGAATTTCTCTAAAAAAAAAATCTAATATGTCATACTTCAAACTTCATGTGTATAGCACCTGTCACACAGGCTTGTGCCGGAGCTTTACAGGTGACAAGCTGATAATAAGACAGTATGTTTCACACTGTTGGGGTTTACAGACTTTCTGCACATGTACAGTATGTCACAAAAGTGAGTACATCCACCAGCTCCATGATGTCGTCATGGAGGTGTAGAAGAGGATTCCAGTGGCGACCTGTGAAGCTCTGGTGAACTCCATGCCCAACAGGGTTAAGGCACTGCTGGAAAATAATGGTGGCCACACAAAATATTGACACTTTGGGCCCAATTTGGACATTTTCACTTAGGGGTGTACTTTTGTTGCCAGCGGTTTAGACATTAATGGCTGTGTATTGAGTTATTTTGAGTGGACAGTAAATTTACACTGTTATACAAGCTGTACACTGACTCCTTTACATTGTAGCAAAGTGTCATTTTTTCAGTGTTGTCCCATGAAAAGACATAATAGATATTTGCAGAAATGTGTACTCACTTTTGTGACATTCTGTATGTGTTGAGTGGGGCTACTCCACACACTCTTAGATGACTAAAAAGACTTAGTAGCAGGAAAAATGGAAACTGAAGGGTTCTTTCCCCCAGTGCCACATCTTCTAAATCTATTAAGTTGCTAATAGGGATGCATGATGTTCACTGGGCAAATTAAAAAACTACTTCATCTTATCTGTAAAACATGCCACGATCATTTTTAAGTAACATTTTCAAACTAGCCGTAGAGTTTTCACCTGTCACCTGTCAATGGTGATATTTCTTTGTCATCATGCATCCCCTCGTTATTATAAATCTAATTTCATTATCCTAAAAATGTTATGAAATGCTGCATTGACAATGTCTTTCCTTTTTTTTAAAAATCATGTAACATTGTGGGAATATTGCAGGCACAATGTTTGTTAATATATCACCTTACAGGAACGTTCAACAAAAAAATGTTCATGGTCACTTGAGGCCTCCATAACATCTTGAAAACATTTTAACATTTTATTTTGAGAATGTTCTTCCTTTGTTTCGTGTTACATAATCTGTGGCCCTGACAACATCCTGAAAACATCTTCTGAAATCTTTTACCTTTTAACTTTCTAGGAACATTATTTGAAATGGTGAACGAGTTTTGATCGTGTTCCTATAATTGTCAGTGATCCTGTGATTCTAACAGACAGGACACATGACTGTCAAAGAATTATCTTCCAACCCAACATGTTTTAATGGTCACACTTACCGAACATGCTGGGATTGTTGATGCGAAGAGAGCGAGACACTGTGTCACCTCCAGATATGTGAGTGCCAAACCTAACAATGCAAACAGGATGGTCAAGTCAAAAGATATAACACATTAATTAAAAACACAGAGATAAGGGTAGATTCAGTTGGAGGGAACAGACCGTATGGTTGGTCCCTGGTGCTGGTTATCTGCTTGTGGACCTGTCATCTGGAAGTAGAGCGGACAGCCTTTCACTGTCATCTGCATGGGAATGAGCACAGATTCGAGCTCCCCCACCTGCAGCACAAAAACAGAGAGAGACATGAATGTAAAACTGCTTTTTTTTTCTTTTTACAGCTCTTATGAAACATTAAACAGCATAAATAACATACTTTGCATATGAGGTGATCTCTGTATTCCCCCCACATGTCGGTATAGGCAGTCACGTCCACAGTCTGGGTCTCAAATGGTCCCAGCGTCCCCGCGTCTGGCAGGACAATGAAAGCTGCACCCTTTCCATGTGCCAGCAGGCTACTCACAAACTCTGACAATGGATACAGAATCATAACCAGCACTGTTAGATCTCATTGTTGCCTGATGTGAAAAGCCTGCACACTGATTAAAAGCTGCAGCGTACCCTTGTGTGCTTTTTCTTCCACTCTCTTCGCCTGAACAGAGTGAAGGGGATTCTTGACGTATGCGAATCTGTGATTAGGATGCAGCCGGCGTTACGTTTCTTTCACGGTAAAGTTATTCCTTGATCCATTATTCAGGTCAGTGAGCCAGCTTCCTTACCTTTTCTCTGACTGGTTATTGGGCTTTGAGGCATGGCAGGTGAAGTATTCTGCCTCAATGGTAAAAGAGGCAGGGATCGCAGTTTGATTAGTTATCAGTAACTGCTTGGTAACAGCTTTCTTTAAAATGACATCATCTCCAAAGTCAAGTGCCACTGCTGAAAGGCTTCCTGGGGAGGAACTAGAGGGAAAGAAATCAAGAGTTTGAGCAGCATTATATCAGTGCTTGTCACTTGTCATTTCGAGTAAATGCAGGGATTTTAGATACAAGGCTTGAAGTTACCAGACACCGGGCAGTGAGTAGGAAACACAGAGCTTCTTGGGTTTAGAAGCTACAATCCCAACAACTAGAGGAGAGCTCATCCCCTGGACCTCACAGAGCGCAGTCACCTCAGTCAGCTCCAGCTAGATAAAGAGACAAGCAGGAGGATAGATGATCAGATATCAAACAGAATGACAGAATACTAATGTGTGACAGCAGATCAAACACAAACCCTTTGCTCTTCACTCTCACCTATTCCCTTTGTCTCTTTGAGCGTGTTAAAAATCTGTGCCGCAGACTGGTACTTACATCTGCGTGAGAGGTAAAATCAACTGTGATCTCCATGGTGGCATTAGGTCCCAGAATACCAGAGGAAGGGTCAAAACTGGCAGCACAGAGTGAAGCTTGTTTCCCCTGGAGTTGGTCCTGTTGGGTAAAACATCATCACTAAGTATCTCATTGTGTTAAAAGACAAGCAAATTTGAGCCCAAGGGGGAAAAGAAAAAACAATTTCTGGACTCAAACTATCTATCATATTACACCAACTGTGAGTGTCATAGACTGGGTTCACTGTGTTTTTGGGATTTTGTCTCTTTGTGTTTTGGTGGATGTGCCTCTGTTCACTGCAGGCTGGGCGGAGCCGATCAGGAGAGACACGCTCACGCTGGCAGCTGTGGCTCATCAGCCGTACCCTGCTTAAATACTGGCGTCTCACAGAAGACCGACGCCAGAGGATTGTGATACCTACCTCAGGGTACAGTCAGGCCACGAGCTGCTACACCGCGCTGAGCATTCTTGATGTTCTCTAGCTTC